TCTTCCCGTCCCGCGCAACCTCTCGCCTCCGCCCCTCTACTTACGCGCTCTTGTCTCTCTCTGGTTTCTCTTGCCCTCCTGTCTTCTTACCTCTGCTTCTCGTGTCTCTCGCTCTGTCTATCGTCTTCACCCGAATAGAACGCCCGGTCATGATCGCTCATCAGTACAGAATATTGTCCCAGATACGGCTACAATGACCGGGCGGGCGAAGACGATGGGCGCTTTCGTACTGCTATCTTCCCTCGTTCTCGTTTGTCTCTTTCCGCGCTGTCCTTCCTTCTTCTCGCCCCTGGCTCTCTCACTGTTCTCCATATCGTCTTCTATCCTCCTCTTTTCCTTTCTTGTCCTCCCTCTTCTCCTCTCTTCTCTTCTCTCTTCTCCTCCATCTTCTCCTCCGCCTTCTCCTCGCTGCTCTCCTCTATTCGATCTCTCCTTCCTGTCTTCTCCCTCTTCTCGCGCCATTTCTTCTCCCTCTTCTCGCGCCATTTCTCCTCCCTCTTCTTGTTCCTCTTCTCCTCCCTCTTCCACTCCCTCTTCTCCTCCATTTCCTCCTCCCTTCATTCTGTCTGTCTCTCCTTCTCCTCCCTCTTCTCGCTTTTCTCCCTTTCTCGTCCCTCGATTCCATCGCTTTCCTGCCTCTCCCTCCTCCCTCTTCTCCTCTCTTCTTCCTGCTCCCCTCTCTCTCTCAACGCTGTTCATTGTTAAGGTGTTTCCTTATCTCTGTCATCCGTCTTTCTTCCCTCCTCCCTCCTCCCTCCTCCCTCCTCCCTCCTCCCTCTTTCCTCGCTCTACCTCTTCGTACTCCCTCGTGGTTCTCCATCCCCTTCTAGCTCGTCTGTTGTCTGTGCGCGCGCGCGCGCGCGCGCGCGCGCGCGCGAGAGAGAGAGAGAGAGAGAGAGAGAGAGATCTGAATAGGGAGGTGGGCGGGGGTTCTTTTTAAACGCTCTGATTTTCGTTGCGCATCAACAATGCAATAATCCCTCTTTATCGACTGGCTGGATGTGGATTTTTTTTATTTTTTTTTTTGGTTTTTAAGGATCGATGATATCACTTACCGTTTTTGTTTGTCGTCGAAATTATTTGTCAAATCTCGAGTTGCCGAGAGACGTGGCTGTTGTTGTTTTCCCCCAATTTTGTGGGAAAATTCACTGGGAGGATGGATTTTTTTTTTATTTTTTTTTAGGATGGATTTTTGTTTGTTTTAGCTATAGGGATAAAAGGGCAGTTTTTTTTTTTAAACCTCTCGAAACGCGCAGAACGCCCCCCTTCTGCCTTCTTCCTTCTCCCTTCTCCCTTCTGCCTTCTGCCTTCTGCCTGTTCTTTCCCCCCAACCTACCGCCCCCCGCGGCCCAGTTGATAATGCTGCTTTTGTTTTTAACTTTCTTTTTTACTGGAATCTGAGTGGTGGAGTTATGGTGATGTATGTGACCGTGATTGTGATTACGTGCATGTTCAGTCTGAGCATTCCTAGTCTGAGTGAAGTTCCTGAACCTGAGTAAAGTGATGGGGTTTCACGCTCGATTTTTTGAAGTTGCCCTGCGCGATTGATGGGGTTATGATGATGTATGTGACCGGAATTGCTTCCACATTCAGTCTGAAAAATCCAAGTGTGAGTGGGCCTATACGCATGTATTTGACAGCAATAACGTCCAAATTCACTCTGGAAATTTCTAGTGTATGCCTTCAATCCGCTTGTGGCTCTGGAGTGATGAAGGGATTTCACTTCTGTTGACTACCGTCTTCCCTTGAATGGAACGTACGGTCATTTTCGCTGTATCTAGACTGAACATTGGTCCAAATGCAGCTATCACACCTGTAATGACCATGCGTTCTATTCGGGGGAAGACGGTCGAGCTCAAGTCCGGCGGCGAATATTCAAGCCTGCGATTTTACTGGTGGAAAATGAAACGATGGATGAGCGAGTTGGTGAGAGAATGCCGTCCCCCCCCCCGCGCCCCCCTAAAGATAGAGAGTCGCTGTCGGGCTGAGATCAAGAGAGCCTCTGTCTCTCTCTCACTTCTCTCCCTCTTCCTCTCTTTCTCCCCCTCTATTTCTTTCGTCTCTCTTCCTCTCTTCCTCTCTTCCTCTCTTCCTCTCTTTCTCGCTTCCTCTCTTTTTTCCTCTCTGGTCTATCGTTGTCTTGCCTACCTTTTTTTTCTCTTTTCTTTTTCTCTTCTCTCTCTCTTCCTCTCCCTTCCTTCCTCTTCTCTTCTCTCCCTCTCTTTCTCTCGTCTCTCTGGTCTCTCTCTCCCTCTCTCCCTCTCTCCCTCTCTCCCTCTTCCTCTCTTCGTTCCTCTCTGCTCTATCGTTGTCTTGCGTACCGTTTTTTTCCGTTTCTTCTCTTCTCTGTAGAGTTCCCTCTTTCTCTGTCCTTGTTCCCAGCTCCTCTCTTTCCTAACTACTCTGCCCTCTGTCAGTCTCCTCTCTCCCTTTCTGTCCTTCCCTCTGTTTCTCTTTTCTCTCCCTTTCTCACCTCCCTCTCTTGCTCGCTCTCCCTAGTTCTTACAATAGCACAGGAACTGATGCGACACGACGGCTATGCTGTTGGCCCCTCCCATAGAGGCCTTTTTTTTGTTTCTCTTTTTCGTTTTTTTTTCTGTTTTTTTTTCT